AAAAAAAATAAATAAATAAAAAAATATTAAAAAAAATTCTTTCAAGTCTTCTTACTCTATAATAACAAATCTTAAACCTCGAGTTTTGTGATTACTTTACAATTAAAACACAAATCTTGAACCTCGAGTTTTGTGATTACTTTACAATTAAAACTAAACCAACATAATATATATATATATTAGTTATCTTATACTATTTCAGTATTTAAATTTTTTCTTTTGAATAAATAAAATACGTTTGTAACCATGTTCAAAATTATATACCGATACTATACAGTAGATGTTCAGTCATCTATAATAACAAATCTCGAACCTCGAGTTTTATGATTATTTTATAATTGAAACTAAACCAATATAATATCTATATATTACAGTAGATGTATAGTCAAAGCAGTGATTACCAATATATGACAATCACATAGCAAGAAGAATAACTAGTTGCTTTCAATGCTTAGATGAGGATTAGCATAAAATGAGCAGATATGTAAGCTCTATTGTATTTTCTGTTTAGTTTTTTAAATTAATTACTAACAAATTTGTAATTTAAAATTCACTTGATATATATAAATTACTACTTGGCTTTAAACAATCCCTGAGGTGAACATATTATAAAAAAAAAATAAAATAAGAGAGAGAGAAACATGATAAAAGTAAATAGATAAAAACAGACCTAACAAAATGTGGTTGGTTAGAATGAGTTGGAGCAAGGAGTGGGGCTTCTTCTAAAATAAATAAATAGATGAAATATGAAAATTACAATAATTAAAAGACAAAAATGAAAATAACTTAACAATATTAATTTATTAATAAAATATACACTGCATAGTTTTAATCAAGCTTGACCAGATAATTTCGATTCAGTGATTTTTTAACTATCGTAATTTTCCATGCAAGGTACCCCCCTTGATCAGTACCCTCCTTGATTCGTACTGGGTACATTTCAAGGTCATTGGATGTAGTATATTGTAATATACCCAGGTACGAATCAATAACGTTTCCATTTTGTGATTTTCTATTGAAAATTTTTTTTCAATTAGAATATAGATTTGCAACTGTATATGCTGCAAATTGGAAGCACACAATAACAGGTAGCGGCACTTTAAGTCAACTTGTTGCATTTAAATTGTTTCATGAATCAAAAAATAGCTACAAGAATCTTGACTACCAGTAATCAACTTGGTTCTGAAGCAGGAAGCGATGGCAGAAACTCTGTATATAAATAAGTATAAATACTACCTTGATCTTGAATCTTTCCTGTAATCAACTTAGTTCTTTAGGATGAGAGCAGGTTGGCAATGGAGTTCAATGGAGCCTAATGAAGCTCTGAATAGAGCCAATGGATATTAGTTTTTTGAGCTCCATTCACATAACCATTGAGCTCCATTGGCTCCATTGCCAACCTAGGATAAGAGGTGTGTGTAGAGACCTTTTACATAATGATTAATTAAAAATTTGATAACACACTGTAATTTACCTAGTGGTAACACATTTCAAAATGATTTATATAATTTTTAGATCAGATATATAGTACCGGAAGTTTTACAAGGAAAAACACACATAAAGCATTAGATATTTATTCTTTAGAATGATTATATGGAGGAATGTTTAAGATTAGAGGCATGATATCATGCTAAGTAAATCTTTTGAAAAAATGTTTGAATAAAGACCCAGAAAAGCGATTATAAAAGATTAGATAGTAAGTTTATTTAAAATTTAAAATCTGCTATTACAAGTTATTCAACCCATTGATTCTCAAAACTTTCTGCCTCATTCTGATCATAATAATATTCAAATTCTTCTTGAACTGGAAAATTTTGTGCCAAGAAGCCTTGTGGTAAGAGATATGGTTGGGATAAAGAGTTTTGCTGAGATGAAAAATATTGTTCAGGTGAAAGGTTAGATGGAAAATCTTGGTGCTGAAAGTGTTGTTGAGGCGAAAGGTTAGACAAAAAATCTTGTTGGAGCTGAAAGTGTTGTTGAGATGGGAGATTATGCTGTTGGAGGTTGTGAAGTGGAGGAAGATTTTGAAGTGGAGGGTATTGTTGATGTTGGAATGGGAGGTATTGTTGAGATAGAAGGTCTTGTTGGAGTTCATCTCATTAAAATAAAAAGTTTTTTTAGGGCAAAAAGTTTTTTAATTAGAATTATAATATTAAAATTTTACTATTCATAAAAATATATTCATTGTTTTCATTGTTTTCATTGTTTTCTACACGATCATAATCAAAAATCAAATCTTCTTCTGATCTGTTAGTTGCAATTGAAATGCCATAGCATTTAAAGAAACGTTGAATTAGTCCAGTATCAATAGTGTCCCATGCGTACTTTATCCATTCTGCAATAAGATTATACGGGGGACGTTTAATTTGGCCACTTTCAGTTAGTTGTCTTACTTCTTGTGCCATCCATTCGT